AAGATCTACAGGAAACAAGTCTCCATTTTCTATAGCTATGTTATGCAGTACTGCTGTAGCTACTATTACATTCATAGTTACATCCAAATTCAGCCTCATTCCGTTTCTTAAAATTGGAAACCGTCGTTTCCATACCCCGTATTGCCTTTCCACAACATTCCTGGTTCTTATGAGAGATTCATTGTAAAGATTTTCTGCTTCTGTTCTAGCATCATGTAGCTGGGTCATTAAATATGATTTTATACCATAACCACTATCACCAACTAGTACAAATCTACCAAAGTTTCCAGCTTCAAATCTTTGTTTTATGCCACTATTGTTAAATATTGTTTGATCATGTACAGAACCAGGCCATCGTGCGACAATATTTCTAATTTTTAAACTAGAGTCACTAATTGTTTGCACATTTAACGCAAAAAATCCTTTTCTTGAACGATATATTTCTGCGTCTACACCCCCAGGAGAATCTATTCGTATTAAAGTGCAATCAATTGCACCTATGCATCTTGGAAATCGTGCAATGGCATAAAAGGCTTCTGCAGCTTGGACCATTTCATCATTTGTTTCATACATTTTAATATACTGTCTGCTTAATGATGCAATTGCTGCAGAAACTCTTTTGATAATTCTGGATGCTGTTGCCCTTGATATACCCATGTAGTCAGCTACTGATACTTGCATGCTTCCAGAAGCAAAAAATCTTAATGTCAATAATAATTGTTGGAGTGGTGTAACAGCTCCTCCCCTAAAAATATGTTCTTATTAATATTTTTATCTATACACATTTTAACATTGTTGGTTTGACTTTTTAATGATTAATGTTAATGTGATAATAAATTTTATTATATCTTAACAGTATTACTTACCTATTTGTTGGAAGTTTTATTAAATGTTCGATTTGTTCCAGTAAGGACATAACTGTTTCTTTTGTCAGTCTAAATCTTTCATAAAAACTTACATCATCATATTGGTTTATATAATTTATTCTTTCCCTATAAACTTTAGGGCGGCGGACATATATAAATTCATCTTCAGAAGAATCTGAACTTGTAGAAAAATTCATTATAAATTTGAAAAAAAAAAGAATGTAAACAAACTTGTAACAAGAGGATATAAAAAATTTGAGGTTAAACTGTTTATTAGTTTAGTTAAAGTGGACTTTACGGAGTTAATTGACAGATTTCTACCATTTAACTTAAAGTGAACTTTAAAGTAAGGTTACAGTATTATGAAACTGAAATTTATACTTTAAAGTGAACTTTACTTTAAAGTTTACTTTAAATTGATTATGAAATCGGGCGTTAGTGACATACTATTGCTAGGTATGGTTTGGGTTTATTTTGGTTTGGTATTGGAATTAGATTGAAAATTTATGAATTATGAAATTATCAATTATGAAAATTATTGGCCATTTGAAAAGTATGATCGATTTAGAGATATCTCTGGCGTATAGAGTTAAAAAAAATTAAAATTTTTGAAATATTTCACTCAAAGCAAAATTAATACATTAATATTTTTCAGATTTTCAGCGGCTACACTCTAATCTCAGAAAGTGAAGCGTTAAGTTCCCAGATAACATGCACCTGTTTCTCAGTGTGCGGCAATAACGTCATCTACGGTTTAAAAAACGGAGATATTCGCCTCTTTCACATACGTTCCAAATACGATACCATGCTAGAGGCCGGAAACATCAGTCCCAGTGACTTACTTGAAGTGTTTTGATCCCAGTAACAGTTATCGCTATGGAAAATCCTTAGTTAGTTCTGGGGGAAGCTCGGATACCTTGGATTTTTTAGATAATGAGTTGGGTAAGTAAAATTTCTTTTATATACGAGGGTAAAACGAAAAATCCTTTGTCTAATGGTGAAAAATTAGTTCTTTATTTAAAATACCTTAATTTCTCAAACAATTCAGTACATTTTATCAAAAAAGTCTTCTGGAAACTTTACTAACATGTATGGGGTAGAAGCTGGCTGGAAAATTTCTGAACAAAAACAAAGGAAAACTGTCTCCATAGTCTGCAACGACGATCAGAGACGACAAACGAGGTTGGAAGCAAAACTCACCGGCATATTGTGGCACATCCTATATACTGCTTTAAATATTTACCATATTCTGGTATAGTGCAAATCTTTTAAATATTCAATGGTTACTCTATTCTAATCTGCGATATTACAGAGGGTAATTTCCACCAGTTACCGGTCTCGACCACTTTACACCATTTCCTTTAAACCATTACACCAAATTGCCGGTTTTTTTTTATTAAAATGACACACGTCCTTTCAGCGTGAATGCCTTCCAAAACCTAACATTGACATTCGTTCGATCTACACACCAAACACCAATCACTTCCCCCCACGCCTCGTTCAACCCGTACACGCCAAGGAACCCGATTCCCTTTCGTTACGACTTACCAATCGTGAAAAATAACCTTGGATCCACTTCCGGCGTTATTGCGTTGTAGATAAATTAATACAAGACTTGCAATATTTTTTTTAGGAACGTTGAACTTAAAACGCCATATATCGATCGTTTTAAAATTCTTTTGCAAAAGATAAACGAAAAAATTTCCTCTCTACAGGGGCGTACTACAAAATTGTATACATAAATATTTTATAGTTAAACAAATTTAAAACGCTACAATATACATCTCTGCTTCTAAAACATACTGTAATCTTTTAAATTCGATAAGGTAAACAACCAGTCCTCGCCACTCTACCAGTTATTGCCACTGACCCTTAAATTCTAAGAAAATAAGAAAATGACTTGAAATCAAATTACATTTTTTGCAAGTACTAATACCTTATTAAGTTTGGCAACTGTGTACTGATGTACAATACCCAAGCTTCATCCATTTTTGTTGTATACCCCTTAGAGTAGTGTTGTGTAAAATTTCTTCCTATTTTTTGTGATTTCTTATGAAAAAATTAAGGTAAGTACATTTTTAATTTTCTTACTTTTGTAAATGATTGTTTTATAAACTTATTTACACATGTGCTCCTCTTAAATACTCTAAATTACATTTGTTTGCTGTTTAAATTCAGTTAAGGGTACATATTTCTAAAGAAATGTACCTGGCAATGACTGGTTGTAAAATATTTTATGAATACCAGTCATTGCCACAAGTGGCCATTATTGGTTTGGGTTATTTTTAATTCATTATAATGTGTAAATTTACTATTTAAAATTAGGGTGTTGCCACTATTTTTTTTTATTTCAAAAACTTTACTTTTACCAATTATTGCCAGTGGTGGCAATGACTGGTTCTAAAGTGGCAATCATTGGTTACATTAATATTTGGTATTACAAGTATTTTGTTCATTCCAGAAATGGCACCTAAAAGGAACTATTCGAACGAGCAATTGGCCAAAGCCCTAGAGGACGTGAAAAAGGGAATCCCACCGGCCACAGCAGTAAAAATTCATGGAGTTCCTCGTAGTACTTTGAGGCATAAGAGGGATGGAAAGTCACCATTAGTTTGTTCTATGGGCCCTTCTACAATTTTAACCAAAGAAGAGGAATCAGTCTTAGTAAAATGGATTTTACATTTATCAGAAAGACATTTTCCTGTTTCAAAAGTTCAGCTTTTAGATACAGTCCAGAGAATAATGAATTCCACAGAAAGAGAGAAATCATTTATTCATAGCCGTCCCAGTGACAAATGGTTTCGCTTGTTTTTGAGAAGATATCCAGAAGTATCTCAAAGAGTGACACAGAATTTAACTCCCAGTCGGGAAAATGTAAGTGAATATAATGTGAGACAGTGGTTCAGTGAAATTGAGGAATACTTAAAGTCAACAGACTTGTTTGATATAAAAAAGAACCCAATCGTGTTTTTAATGCTGATGAGAGTGCATTTTATTTATCACCTAAAGAGGGAAAGGTTTTGGCTAAGAAAGGTGATAAAAATATTTATCGCTCTGCTGGAGATGACAAGGAAAATATAACAGTATTAGTAACAGCTAATGCTGCAGGAAAAATCGCCCCTCCAATGATTGTGTTGGCATATGAAAGAATTCCATCAGCTATATCACAAAGTATTCCAAAAGATTGGGCTCTGGGAACTTCAGATAATGGATGGATGTGTTCTAGTACTTTTTATGAATACATTACCAATATATTTAATCCGTGGCTCATTAGAGAAAATATTAAAAAACCTATTTTATTTTTTGTTGATGGGCACGTTTCTCATCTTACGTTGCATGTGTCCAACTTTTGCAAAGAAAATGGAATAGAACTGATAGCTTTGTATCCCAACTCGACCCATCTGCTACAACCTATGGATATATCAGTGTTTAGGCCCTTAAAATTGGCATATAAAAATGAAGTTCAAAAGTGGAGAATGGACAATGATGGCAATAAACTTCAGAAATATCATTTTGGCTATGTTTTTGAAAAGTCACTAAATCAGATAAATGAAGAAATTATTCAGAACGGATTTAAATCTTCAGGGTTATGCCCATTTAATGTTGAAAATGTTCATTTTGAAAAAATTAGTGTAAAAAATGTTAGTACCAGTTCCACAATTTCTGACACATCTGAGTCTGATACTAGTGCATGTATACAATCTGTACAAGCACTTAAGTATTTTGAAGGAAAGCTGGGTGAAGAAACTTTAAATAGGTTCAAGGTAACTTTAAATGAAAATCAGGATTGGAATGGTTCTATTGAGGATAAATCTCTTTTTAACATATGGAAAGAATGGACAATGGAAAACCTACCAAACCAAATTAAATGTACCATCCAAAACAATATTACCATATTTCCAACTCACTGCACACCAGTAAAAAATTTCCAACCAAACATCTCTGGTACTCATAGCTCAGATATATTGTCTACTCCTGAACCAAGTACATCACATGTACACTTGGAGAGTCCATGCAAAGTTCCTACTCCTGAACCAAGTACATCACGTGTACACTTGGAGAGCTGCAAGTCCTACTGACCAATACATCGTTACACTGAGTCATCAAGTCCTACTCCATTAAGAAAGCACTGTTTTGGCCAGACCCAAAACCTCAGACAAAGAAGAAGAACTAAAGGAAAAGATTCCATCCGTGGTAACATCAGAAGCTTGGCGTGAATATCACTCGCAGAAAGAAAATGAAAAGAAAAAGAAAGAAGAAGAAAAAAACCAAAGAAAAATTGCAAGAGAGCAAAAACGTATATTGAAAGAGAAGCCAAAACGGGATATTTCTGATGACGATGGAGAAGATGAAGAGTGGGTCGAGAGTGGTAGCAGCTGTGATGACATAGACTTTTGTGATGACCCTAACAAAGACTTTTGCCCATTAACTCACGGAGAACTTAGTGTGGGAAACTATGTACTTGTGAAATTCTTAGGTGGTAAAAGAAAATCCATAAAGTACAGATATGTTTGTATTATCCAAGGCCTTATGGACAATAATGATGTACAAATAATGTCTATGAAATCTGTTAGTGAAAAGAACATTTTTATTTGTGATGAAAAAGACATCTCCTTTGTCAACAAAAATCGTGTTTTAGGCATACTGCCAACCCCTATTATTTTATCCCTGGTGAACGGATCCGTTATGAATTTACTTTGCCAGTGGATGTATTTGAGGTCTAAAACCTGTGCAATTTTTATTAATAAGCAAGATTTTTCAGTAAAATGTAGAATTATTTCTGTATGGCAATGACTGGGTGGCAATAATTGTTATTTTGAAAAATTGTGTGGCAATTATTGGTTTTTTGGCTTTATATGGTTTTTAGCTTTAACTTTCTTATAGTGGCAATGGCTGGTCATTTACCTTATATAACACACCTTTCCGTTTTTGTATCGCCTTGTAGGCGCCCATATAATGACGTCTAACACAGACGAAATGAGCTAAAACTGTAGAGATAAAGTCATATAAAATATTTTGAATTTACAATTAAAAAAATAAAGGTCATTCATCGAGATAAAAATTTCTTATCTCACAATTTCAACCAACAAATACACTGTCACAAAATTTTATTGCAATCGGTTCAGTGGTTTTTAAATATTAGATTTCTTAAGATTTACAAATAGTGATAAAGTCTAAATCTAAAGGAACCAAATCTGGCCTGGATTTTAGTTGAAACTTTATTTTTTTTGCAGGAGTCATCGTTGCTATGTACGGAAACGACCGTTTAGCTATATACAACGACAAAAATACATTTAAAATAACTCTAAACCAACCGTCCATATATCCTTTCTCCAAAAAACTACTTATCATCGATTCAGCTTGCAATTTTTACACGTGGCACGTCGAAACTGGCGTTTTTATCAGCATTACGAACAACCACATCTTAGAACCAGTGACTTTCAACGTGGGAGCCTTCAGTCCACATAAATCTGTTGTAGCTGCTTTCTTCGATCAATTAGGCATCCATTTTTGCCATATATATAGTTTAGATGTGGAAATTAACTCAGTGAAGTTGCTTAAGAGGTTGAAATTTACTGAAAAAATGACGACTGCCAAATTTTCCTGTGATGGATCGCTCCTAGCGGTCGGAATGGCCAGTGGTAGTATTAAGGTAAGATAAAATATATAATATTGGGTAATGATCCTTTTTTTCTAAACATATTTCCTCAGTGGTAAACAATTTCTATACTAATTGCTGCATGACGAATTTATTGAACGAACCCTAATAGTTTTCACAACATATCTATCCCCTTTTAGGTATATAATCTAGACGAAAATTACAAGGAAACTATTCTTAATCTGCACGAAGATCCCATTCAAGATTTAACATTTTCTCCACACAAAGAACCTATATTGGTAAGTATGGGAGAAGAAATTGCGTGGTGGAACCTAAGATTGCTGAGGCCATTCCAAAAAACTGAAAGAAGAGGACGAAGACCGAATAGGTGAGTGTTTAATATATTAATTAACATTATTATATTTATATTATTCCTCCTTTTATACCACACATAACACATGAAGCATTTTATTCGACCTTCTTCTATTTTTTAACTACAGAATACATTTTAAGTCAGAAATAGATCAAAAAATTAATCGTATGTTCACCATATTTAGTAGATCAAACAAAAAGTACTTTATAATTTTATAAGAAGACTAGCGGACCCGACAGACTTAGTTCTATCAAATAAATTTGGAATTTGGCAGTTTATTTCTTCAATTCTCCTGAACAGAACCGTCACCATTATGATAGGGCGGTATGAGGGTCAGCTCGGATGGCCTAAGTATCTTCGCCTCGACGAACTTTGGCCACCCTTTTGGACCCACTAAAAACCCCGACAGGGATGTCTGCCAAAAGGCTTCAAACTAAGAGCTGAACTTAGAATTAAAAGTAAAACGGGAACAAAACCATGAAGTGGAGATATCCAGGAGTGGATAGTATACCTGTTGAATCCAAAGCACGTGGTGTTCATGTGTATCAAGGTATAAAAATGCTTATAAAACTTTTATTTTAAAGAAGATCTTTTCGGAATTGAATCATTCCATCATCAGTTTAATAAAAAGTTGTTAAAAACATTGTTTGGCCACAGAAAAATAATAGAAGGACATCAGTAACAAAAAACAATCTTCATGGAATTTACAAAGGTAAATGCAATAGACCGTTAACTTCGGTAATTATTAAAAACTAAAAATATGGGCATCTAACATGATCCCCAGGAGCTGGTGAGATTTTGTCGACTTACATTACCTCTGATCTGTGCTGGAGTCTAGGGTTAACTGGTTCAGAATTTATTAGTAAATTATTTTATGAGAATTTGACTTCGTTTAATTTTTTTGGGATTAACTGTATTAACTTTAACATTTTTTTTACAGCCTTGATATCTTAGAAGATCTTACATCGGATTTCAGCTCCATGGACGTATCTTTCTGGTCCGAACGACAGCCAGTCAAAGGTTCGCCGTGTCTTCTTTCTTGCATTAAGTTGAATGATAAAGTGAAGTACATGTCTGCTTCCAACGACTTCAATTCCTTCCTAACCATCGATGTAACGGGAAAAGTTTATATCATGGATATCATACTGCCTGCCTGTGAAGACCTCTGAAAGAGGAACGTGCAATATGAGATTGTTTTTGTTGTTGATAGTACGTTGACTTCTGGATCGTCTTCGTTTCGGTTGCAATAATTATAAGAGAAAATAATTCTTGTCATAGTTATGGAAAAGAAGACGATCTTAGTCCAGTCAATGTTCTATTTAGGGGTTTGGTAGTTCAATAGCTCAAATAAAATGCGGGTTATTTAATCCTTACTAACATTATCTCGGAGTACTGATCTTAAAAGAAGAGGAAGCGGTTCCTCTATAAAATTAATTCCACTCTGTTGATATTTTAGTGTAAAAGTTTTCTGGGCTTCCCCGAGGAAATAAGTACTTCATCTTCTCGTTTTGGGCGTTATTTTTGAGGGTCTTTGGTATATTTTATTCAACATTTTTTAAAACTTTATGAACACAATACAACTATACTGAGCGTTGAAATACAACTTCTTTCCTCGAGTGCGACAGAGAAAAGTGACTTAAACTAGTCCCTGCATCTCTTTTTTTGATCACGTGGTCTATAAACTTGGCCCATTAAAAAAAAAATGCAGAGGCTGATTTGCCTCAGTTTTCTCTGTCCCACTGGATGAACGGTAATGCATTCAGTCTATTTGTATTATATGTCTCTTGTCGAAGTATAAGACGACAAAATGTGTTCTTTTGTGCGTAAATTTTTCTTTATAAAATAATATTGTTAACAAGTCCCACCAAGAAAATATTAAAGATATCGTAACGTTGAATGATGTATCCAAATGGCGCCGTCCCCTTTTTGAAGTTGAATTACTTATTAAATAAAAAAATATCGGAATATACAGGTTATGTTCTAACTAATATTAATTGTCATGGAAAAACATTGATTGTTTTTCAGATTTGATCTCAAAACAACCATCCACCCTAGTATTTTGTTCATCTTTCGAAATAATATTTGTCGTCTAGTGCAATACATGAAATTGCTCAAACGTTACTAACCCGAATGATTTTTAGAATATTTTTTAACTAAATTTAGATTTTGTACAATTTTTATTACATCTCTTAGGCAGTGAACAATGTGATGACATATCGTGATGTAGCTTAAATCAAAGAAAGCGGTTTAGTGTCATTTTGTCGAGTTTATTTTTGTTTGATTTTTATTGTGGTATTGGACCGCTAAACAGTGAGAAAAGTGTTGATTTTAGTAGTATCTCTAGCCCCGCCGACTGATACTTTATTGTTAAGATGGCAGGTAACAATGAGAATAGCGGATAGTAAATGATGAGTTGCGCTAGGTTAAGTAAAAGCAGAAAATGTTAAAAAATATTTAAAATATCACTAGAATTCAGTTTTGTCAGCTGTCTTCTCAGCAATAATATCAGTGGACGAAGATCTGTCTCAAATTATTGAGATATAGATACTTTTCACATGGTTTAGTACCCCAATATCTAATAATATGTTGTCGTTCATGGTATCTATGTATATGTGCGGTGTACTTCTCATTTATACAATGTTATTGTCCTACTTTGTATATAGAGTACTTACAAAATACTTAAAATATGTTTTTAAATATGAAAACTCATTGACTATTCCGACTTCTAGCCTTTTGTTTTAGTATACTCCGTTTTTACTCTATTGAAATGTTTTATAATGAGTGTAGAGAATCTAGACATGTTGTCTGGCTTGGTTTTTTGTCATTTTCTTGTGATTTCACTTTTTCTTTATTATTTTCGTTCATGACAATGATCTTTTCCCTATGTAGGTTTACATATTCGTTAAATGTCTTCGTCATCTACTGATTACATAGTCTTATGTCTCAAAATTATATTTTGTAAAAGTAACTTATAATTTTATTAGAATTTTTGAAAGTAACTTATAATTTTATAAGATTTCTAAAAGTAACTTATAATTTTATTAGAATTTGTGAAAGTAACTTATGATTTTCTGAGAATTTTTGAAAGTAACTGATGATTTTATAACAATTTTAAAAGTAACTTAATTTTATAACAATTTTTGAAGGTAACTTTGAATTAGTAAAATTTCTTTTTAACTACTAGTTTTCGTTAGCGAAACTTTCTGATTTTGAATCCTTAACCATTCATGTTTATTATTTTGTGTTTTTCATTTTGATTTTATTCTTCTGTTCTTCTTAGTATGATTGTACCTTACAGTGTTTTACAATTCTGTTATTAAATTATTTTGGCAGTATAAAATGAGTCTTCACAATCATTGCTCGCTAAATAATATTTCAAATAAAAATAAGTAGATATATAGGCACGGTTCTGACTTTCTAAGATGGTGGCCGTGATATAAAGAGAATGCTGACTTATCCTCATGTCTCAAGGACACGCACCTTGGCCAATGGACATTAGGGACTTGTAAACGCCCCAATGGTGACATAGAAACGCCCCTAATTGTGACATTTAAATGGCTTACATAGTATGTCACGATTCAAATTTTGCGTTGAATGTCACATGATTTGTCACGCACATAATATGACGTTCGATGCAGAACGTGACATATTAAGTGAGGCGTTTACCTGTCCCTATTGGGGCGGTCCTATGCCACCATTGGGGGGCGTTTACACGTCACCATTGGTCAGGAGGCGTTCCAATGCCGCCATTGGCCAGGAAGAGTGGCCTTGAGACACGAGGATACGTATTCTTACATCCTGCTGAATGGCCGCCATCTTGAAAAGTGTTCCAGAATTGGTCCTATATATCTACTGCATTAAAAACATAAACTCTAGGAGAAAAAGTAGGACAAACAAAATGTATAGTATTGATGATTTTATGAATTCTCAACTTGACTAATCAGTGGAAAAATTTTATAATCAGTGAATTTCAGTGTTTTTATTTTTGAATTACAATAATGTTTTATTTCAAATTAGTTTTCCGAACACGCTCTTTACATTTTTTAGTCGTTGGTGTTTGTGTTTTATAAATATACGGCATGCTCATAATCGATACTAATATTACTAACATTAAAATATAAGTATTTTATGAAGTATTATTGGGGTATTTATTTAAGGTTATTCAATTTTTTTAATTAAAAACAAATATTTTTTTTTGTGTACCGCACATTTCAATATTTTTCGTACAGGATGGCTCAAAAATTTTGCCGGTACTTGTAACCAGTGAGGCCAGAATTTTGGGTCACCCAGTATAGAAGTAGTTCCATTATGTGGTTATTTTCTACCGTTTTCTTGAAAAAAATTTATTTGTGGTGGGTCACTATATAATAATAATAAGTAACGAGTATTTAGGCGATCATATTTAATGAGTAAAAAAGTTACATTATAATTTTTATATTGTGTAAGAGTTTTTGTGCAATTTTTTAAAAATAACTCAAAATTTCTTCGATTTTTATAAAAAATTATGGAAACAACTTTATATTCCTTGTAATTTTATCAGAATTTATGAAAGTAAGATCATTCTGAAGTTTTTTAAAAGTAATTTATAATTTTATATAGAATTTTTAAAAGTAACTTAATGCTTATCATAATTTTATGAGAATTTATAAAAGTAAATTATAATTTTATAAGAATTTCTGTATCCCATAACTGTTACTCTATTAGTAATCGAATGACTAGTGTTTCTTAACTGAAATAATTGTTTCTATTGAATTATTTTTCTATTATATCCACACTGAAACTATTATCTAGTGTCCCACTGTCTAAACAATATTTTTTTTATTAATTTTGCCTGTATATACGCTATGAAGATTATCTTTTTAAAATTAGTTATTGCTTAAATATTTATTTTGTGTTTTGTTTCTTGAATTTAGTCAAAATATTAGGTGTATTTTATATTGTTAGTGAAATTATTTTAAAATATTTCTTTTAGTGAATATTTTTAGTGGTGGTTCTAAATATTATCGGTTCATTGTTAATTATAGTCCAAATATGTGTTCTAACGGATTCAAAAATTGTATTTTATTCAAAGTAGTTGATAAAAATGCAGTTGAAAGACTTTCAGAAAAGTACAAATATCTACATATATTTTTTAATAGCATTATTCCGTCATTTCCTTAAAAAAAACCACACATAAATATGCTGTAATATTTAGAAAGCCACTATGCAGGATGCTTCAGGCTCAACTAATAAAACTCACTGAGAAAACGGTGCTAAAAAAATGTATAAAAACATATATCCCATATAAAAACCACAAACTATGCCGTATAAATTTATATTGAACCTGATCCATCCTGTATATTTTTGATACTGATCAAAAGTGTACTACTTTTGAGTTTTTTGTGCGTCCTTAGATAATATGTAAAAAACTTTCTAAAAAAATTTATTTTTGGAATATTTTTCATTCAATTCGATCATAACACATTAACGATTTTTAATTACTTTACCATAGCATGTATTGTTTCCATTTTTATAATAAACGCTGGTTTTTAGCTTTTAGAATTTTGGATGGATCCTTTGCTGTTCCTTAAGATATCTTGCTCATATACCTACTTATAATTTTATCAGAATTTATAAGAGTAACTTATAATTTTATAAGAATTTCTGATAACTTCTGAAAGTATACAATTTTTACTACACTATTAGTATCCATGACCAGTGTTTGATTTTTTTTCTACTAACCATACTTACAAATAATTTTACGGAAATAATTCTTAATTGGTGTTAGATTTTTTTATTTATATCTTGAATTTTGTGGCTCTGTATGAACTCCAATATAAATAATCCGGTGCCAAATATTGTAGGATTGTTGTACATATTTTTTTCAGCTACTGTACATCACAGCGCACAATTTGTATATAATATAGTAAGTACGCAGGGTTGGTACTTTTGTATAAACTAAATTTTTGTGAACTTTTAAAAATCACGACACGAAGGGTTGTGAAAATTTTTATTTTGCCCTGCGTACTCAAAATTGCTCTCTTAGGTTTCGCAAAAATACTATTTGAGTATAGGTATGTGATCCTAGAATGTTGATTGTGTGGATTGTCAATAATTGAGGATTCAATTTGTTAAAGTAGTCGACCAACTTACAATAGTAAAAATAGATTTATAGAAAATTGAAATTTTT